GAATTGCACAAAACGCATGATCGCACCGGCTAGTCTGGTGCGCGTTGCCATTTATTTTTTTTTTTGACTTGGATGACAGATGGGTTTACAGATTCTATGCGTTGCCCAGTCAGCAGCGCTGGCTCTGATAGTCCAGAGAATAGTTTTAAAGTCCCTGCCGATTCGAACGCTTCAGGTGGTTCAGCATCGAGAGGTGGAGTTGATCCATCGAGCTTTGAATTCGGCATCGGTAAAACAGCAAGTGAAAGCGGTCTGATGGGTTTTGGCGCCGGTAATCCGCCACCCGTTGATTTCAGTCATCCAGATTTTGCTGTATTTGGGAGCAGCGGCGACGGGCAGCAGTCATCGCAGTACTCAACAACACAGGTCCCAGATGGGTAATTTCCAGAATTTGAAATCTGATTTTCTAATTTGACTTTTTGGCTACATTTTAACACATTTCGCACTCTTCGTGGAAAATTTAAGTGGAAACTTGACTTCTGTTCTTCAGTAACTGCAGCAAATTTTTTAACAAAAAAAGTGATTTTCAGCACACCAAAACTTTCTGAGGAAGGGAGCACGACAGCTCCAGAAAATACCACCACCGAAGCAGCGAATGAAACGGAACCGCCAATATCCGCCTCACAATCGTCAGCAAATACACCGGCGCGGTCGCCCCTACCGCAACCTGTTGAGGAGCCAGAAGCTGCGATACCAAAAAATTCTGGACTGATTCCCGCCTCGCCACCTCTTGATTTTGTGGGTGAATTCGGGACAGGAGTCGGAGCACCGCCGTTCCGCGGTTCATTTGGAGCAGCAGCACCGCTACCGTCATCATCTGGTAATTATTAGATCACTTTCTCGCTCTGAGAAGGCATCCAGAAGAAGCTTCGCGAAGCAATTCAAACACCAAATTATTATCATTTATTTAGCTTGGGACAAAGCTTCTATGAAGTGGTACCCTGATATGCATCTTTCACTTAGAAATAAAGGCTGCGATGCTGCAGAATCAGTTTCAAATCGTTTCTTGCTTTCTTTTGAAGACGAATGTCCCAGTTGCAAAATTTTACGAATTTCTTCTGCTCGTCTCTTGGCAAGCGAAAATTCGCTTGCTTTAAATTGCCACGAACCCCAACCTTCAATCAAGGTGCAGCTGAACTGAGATACTAAAACCGCAACGAACTCTGACCGCTCTGAGCAGCACTGGTCAAGCGGATCTGGCTCTGGCGCGTCGCTTTCGCAGCCGAGAGCATCGAATTGAACGGTGATGCTGGTGCATTCCAAAGCACTGAAACTTAAATGAACTGACAGATGGGCTTTTTTTTTTCAGATAACAATCAGATCGAAGAGTCGCTGTTAACCGGCGAGTCAGCGCTGACGCCCAATCGAGCCGGTCCAACCGGTGATGGACTTGGTCCACCAATCCTTCCTGGTGCGGCAATACCACCTCCAGTGCCGGCGCTCGGTATTGGTGGTGCTGCCGCTGGCATCCTGCCAGCACCGTCACCTTATGATCTTTTCCAGACAACACAAAATCCACCAACAACGGTTTGTTTCCTGGGCGCTTAATCAATTACAGTTATTGTTGAAGGTGTTTTTAAGCAACAAATTACTACTGGCACTGTGAGATGTCCATTACTCTCTCGCTTACTTGTTTGAGGGCACACTCCACATATTAGAGATATTAATTATGATATCTATGAAAAAGGTAAAATGAAATTAAAAAATTAGATGAAAAAAAAAAAATAGGATCGTGCAATTCTCGGCCCTTCCTTCCAACCTCCACAACTCGTGCTTATCTAGCTTGGAAGGAGTTCACTTCCAGCTGCGCATTCACACATCCTGATATTCGCAGCGTTTATCCAACTTGGAGTAAAATTTAAAAAAAAAAAAAAAAGAAAAAAAACGACATTTTTCCCGATATGCAGCACTGGAATTCTTTATTGCTGGCGATTTAGCTGCTCCCTGTTTTAGCTCAAACCGTCCGCACTGCTGAGTGTCTTGAATAAAGCCGACATTGGTTTCAATCAAGCGATCAGTCATTTTGAGCAGGGTACACCGGTCGAGTCGGCTGCTATCGATATCCTTGAAGTAAGTTGAGCTTCCTGCTTCTTCTGGCTGGATCGTTGCTCAAGCATGGACACACAACTGCGCATTCAGGTTGCACTGGGCAGTGAGAAACTGGACAGTCAGGCGAAGCTGCTTGGCCACATCGATCGCACAATTGGCATCGACAATTTACAGAGGTTGCAGCGATGGGCGAACACTGGCGGTGCACTGGACGCTCTCAAGGAACAGGTTGCTTCAGAAAATTCATCTTATTAAGCTAAAAAGTCAGTGCAGGAAGCAACGTGCTGCTGGCACTGAGTCGTCGCGATCGGCAATTTTTGTGAAAGATCACAGCAGTTCTTGCTAATACGACAAAAACGAACTCGTCTGACCGGCATTTGCTTTCCAGCTCGCCAAAATTGCGCAGAACTACAGTCCACCAGAAAACCTCCTGCCCACTCTACCACCGCAGCTACAGTATCTCTTTGCTCCGTCCGGTAAACGGTGATGATACCTCTCAAGCGGGTTTGCGTTGCAACAGGATGTCGATATTTGCTCATACTGTTCGATACAGATAATTGATTCCTAGAGATAAATTCTAAAAAAAAACTAAATTTTGTCTTATTTTCATAAAAGTTTGTTTTTTTTTTTGCCTTAGCTGTATGGATTATAGTTTTTGATCGTTTCGTTAATTCTCCCATGGGTAACTTGATTGGAAATGGATTCTGAGAACAATACTTCATTTTCATAAACATTTCTTGAACAAAAATAACAGCAATACATAGCTTACTACAACAGTGCAACATATTCTCAAACATTAAAAAAAAAGCGGCGAAAAGTGATGAGGTATTAGATGATATGACAGATAAAGAAAGTTCAGTGTGCTGATTGATTTGATTATGGATCGCTCATCGGCAAAACACTCCACATCCAGTACCAGCAACCCAGAAAACTACAAACAAGAAAAGTTGCACAGTCTAAGTTGAGGATTCGACTACGCCAGTAAAATAAAACAGAATCTCTCTCTGTCTCAGTTCGCCTGCATGTTTCGATGGTAAATTGGTACTGACAAAAATCACAGACTTAAATCCGTTTCTAAGCAACTTTAAGAAGAAAGCACCATCTGTCTACGGTATATAGTAACATTCCAGTTATTCCTTACTGCCTTCAGCTTTCTTTCAAAGGGATATAGCATTGAATTTTGACTTAGTGAGCAGCAATGAAGCATATGCATCGAAACGAAATGCGCAATGCATCGAACGATTCCTAGCACAGTAAAACAATAACAGAGCAAGAGTATACTCAAAAAAAAAAAAGGCGATCTGTGTATAAATATGAAGAGGTTCCCTTCCTGGTCAGTCGGTGTGTGGAGGTCCCATGTTAATGATTTTACTGGAATGCATAAGCATATGACGAATAGTCACACTTATATTCCCAACATGGCACCGTTTAAGCAACTGACCGTTGCTTCAAGCAGCTATAACTAATACGATTTGTTCACAGAATTGAAAATGCTGCACTTTTCAGAATACTACAATAATGAAATGCATACCTTGTAAAAGCAATGAAAGTAAAACACTGCTTTGTATGTCTGCTGTGTGTAGCTGCTGCTGCTGCTGCACCATCATTTTCCGCATCTTATCGGTTCCATTTTGCTCAGT